CCCGTGTCATGACCAACGTGGGCTGGTAGAGATACAACGTCTAAGAAAAAAAATTGAGATACTCGATTTAAAAAAAGTCTTCTCTCGGGAATCAAACTCAGTTCTTCTGAATACGCCTTACCGTTGCATACAGACTATTTTTACACTCTTCAACCCTTGCCATGTACATTAGTAGCTCATTAATCAATCAGACATGTAATGTTGTCCTCTTGAGAGAAGGAGTCAAATGTCAGACAGCAACATTGCCTCCGTGGGTGTTAATCTACAATCACTGGTCAGACACGTGTCAATCTGTGTGTCCGTCTGTCAGCCTGTGAACTGGGCTGTGAGCACACTCACACATAAACACACACACTCACACACACACACACACACACATACACACTCACACACACACAAACACACACACACTGACACCGACACGCGGGAAGTTCTGATTTGTCCACACTGCTTCTAACTACGTCACTCCTGGTGTCTCAATCTCCTCTGGTGACCTTTGGTACCCTGAGCAATCGCAATTGTTCGCCTTGCGCGGAGTATGGGCTGGGTGTTGTTACATTCTCTGAAGCTTTCTAAGTTGTTGGTTTTTTAAATGTAGAATCGGTGTTTCAAATTCACGGTTTTTTTTATTACTTCTTCATTGAGATCAGACGGCCTCTGTTTCCGTTTTTTTCTAAGTAAGAGTTTTACGGCACTTGCCGCACAATTAGGACATATACGTGTTACTGGAGAGAAGCATACACCAAAAAAGGAGGAGAAATAAAGGACGATAGATATTTGATAGCAAAGAAGGAGAAAACCGCACTACAGGACGTTAATTCACCCATCCATCCTCTGTTTCTTTTCTCGGTGAGCGTCCGAGTTGTAAGTACATTTGTACCCTCAGGGCGTATCAGTACTGTGTGTATGTTTAATAATAATGATATACACATTTGTTTTGTATATTTAGCTATGTTAGAATTACAAAGTTGTATCTGATATTTTAGGCTGCTTTGGTATACTCTGCCCATGACGTCAGAAAACAAATTAATGTTTTTTTCTGGTATATCAAAATTATAAGATTATTTGGAGTCGTTGTTAAGACATTCACATAATTGTATTTAAAAAAGTATGACATGTTGTGAATTAAACAATTTTAAGGTCAATTAAACTTGCACCATATCATATCAGGGATTAGACTGCCTACAAAGAGGAAAGTCAGCATGTGCCCTTCGTTGACTCAGTTCGTGTTATGCTGGACAACAGAGTGAATAGTCTTGGTTTAAGTCCCAGACAGGGCGTTCTTGAAATCGGGTTCTTCTGTGAAGTTTTCAAGACTCTCAACCCATTTGGCTAGATCCTATCGGATACGGACGTTATACTATAAGGTCCCCGCCACTTAAATAACCTAATCGTGTTGATAAGGTGTTAAACTCGTGCACCTATTTACTAAAGTTATCCTTGTTTATGACCTAGAAATAATTCAATTTACAAGAACAGGAGGCACGTGCCCACTCTCTCATTCACTCATTCGTTCGTCCCATCTATATCCGACCATGTCTAATTCTTTATACATACACATCCTTAGCTTCCTAGGTTAAAATGGGCTGTATGCTGATCGCCGAGAACGAAAGATAGCGATGATATTTTTGTCATTCCAAAGTACGATCAGAAAACGCTTCTTAGTTCCTGTCTGCACAGCCGTGAAGACATTTCCATTTTCCGCTCTCTCTGTTACAAAAGAAATGGAATGCGACTTTTCTGTCACTGGAAGTGTTTTCGCCAAGGCGGATCACAGGTCCGATCTTATAACGTACTTTTGTAGTACTTATCCTCAACGTTCCGCTCTGTTTCCACACAACTATTCTAGCAAGTCATTAGAGGCTGCGAGCAATAGGGGTTCTGTTTCCTTCCTGTTGCTATGGTTTTCCCTGTGTGAAGTGAAGAGTTCAGATAGAAAATGGCACAAGTCACATATTTCCATTTTCTCTTTTGTCTAATTTGCTTTATTGTTAGGCTTGTTCTGTCTTGTCCTTCGATATAAGTCAAGGCTGCAATCACTTCCAAGTGAAATACATGGTGTCTAAGATTATCGTTCCTGAAAGGAGCAATAATAGACGTTATAAACACGTGAAAGAAAGGCAGTAGTCCATAATACTTGTTCCTGTTACTTATGTCTTTTTTCTCTTTGAGTCCTCTATCTGTATTCTTTGCTTTTCGGGAATCGTAGACATTTTATCCTAACTGAGAGTATAGCCGACTCAAAGTTAAAGTGACACTCAGATTGCGACTCGTCTTTGACTTGAACTTCATTTATTTTAAACTCAAACACAGTTTTTGACCTAAATAGACCAACTTCTTTTTGTGTTATAATGTCTTGAATACCGTTGAACGTTTTGGAAGCGAGTTGATATGTAAGTATGTGTTTGGTTGTGGTCTTCAAGGTAATCCTCAAACTGCGGGTGGTTGATAGTTGACGGGTGATAGAAGTTTCTGCTGGCTGGTTAAGGCAGTTTGTTTGAGTATGTGTGTTTACATACTTTATGTGTGTGAGAGTAAGTGCTTTTGTATGTGTGTATGTGTATTTGTGTGTGTGTGTGTGAATGTGTGTGTGTGTGTGTGTGAGTGTGTG